TAATAATAATAATAATAATAATAATAATAATAATAATAATAATAATAATAATAATATGATTTCTACTATAACATTTTTTATTATTATTGCACAATAAAAACTCAAGCTGTATTGGTATCTGCTACAACAAATGTACATCTAAGGAAGCAAGCAAACAACAACAAAAAAACCCACTAACCTGCCTCTTCAGTTCTTACTTTTTCTGAGGGTAAACTAGGTTCTCCACCTCCAATTTTGTTACTGGCAACTACACGGAATTCATATTCCACCCAGGGGTTTAAGTCTACCGCAGCAGCTGTGAATGTCTTCCCATCAATGACATCAGGAACTGTAACAAGATACGTTGAGAAAAACCATGAATTTCTGTGGTGGTTTTCTGGAAAGAGCTAATACATTCAATTGCAGCCAATAAATCTTCCTTTTACCTGTTGTGACTCTTTGCCAACCCACCGAAAATGGTGTCCTGGCTTGTATAGTATAACCAGTGATAGGGCTGTGATTATCTAAGCCTTCATGCCAAGAAAGCCGAGCTGTACTAGCTGTTATTTCATCCACTTTTACACGTTCAGGTGGTCCAGGTGAGCCTAATGCAATAAAACATCAGATTTTAACAATTGGGAAGGCTGCCGTAAAGGTAGTAGGTACTCTACAAATTGCTAAACACGGTACCGACTGATTTCTATTTCACCAGCACTGTGGGGGGAAGAAAACAATTTAGACTGCAGTAAAAGTGCCATTTTTTACATTTACTAAACCCCTGCTTGGTTATTTTATAGCTGTAAAAGCAAGCTCTGAAACAGCAATTCCGTAAGTAGAAAGCAGATGATGCATTCTTTCAGGGACCTTTACTCAGCCAGATTGCTCTGCTTTTTCAAGTCAGTGTCTTTTACTTAGTCCTTGATGTCCTGCATTCATCTGATAGTACATCTTTTTGGTCTGACAATTTGTTATCGAAAGCATGTTTTTGTCATGGTTCTTACCTCACAGTCATTTCTCCTCGCTTCTGCAGAATACCGTATCAGCACCTTAGACAGCAATTCACATTGCAAGCCTTTTGCAGCTTTCCAGAAAATCTCAATTTTCCAGAATTTACAAAAATATATTGTTGCTGTTTTGCTACAAACATGAGGCAGAACTAATGAAATGCCTCTTTAAAGCACAATAGTTAACCATGGCTGGAGCTGTCATATTTAGCTTGACATATGCTCAAGACGTATTTCTTTCTGCTTTAGTCTCATATACAGTAATGAACTGCTTTTTAAAAACATTTTATGCTTTAAAACATTTCATTTTTCATAGTGTAGCTTTGTGATAAGGCAGATAATGAAATGAAGCAAATGATATTCTACCACCAGCCTGAAGTGGAAAATGCAAAAAAATGCACTTCATTTCCAAAGTCACTCTAGCATTTTGAATATTCATGCCTGCATAAGAAAACCTGCAGTGTGAAATTCACCAATGCCTGGGCGTCACTTGAGGATTATGCACAGTAACTCATAGGTAATTTTTTTAAAAACTGCTTTCATTCAACAATAATTGCTGTAATCGTGTTGCTCAGTGGAGTAAATTGCACTAGAGTAGGGTTAATGAATCACTGGATATCTGATGATTAAATTCCTTGGTATGTTCCAATAATTCAAATGGGCCTACTCTAGTTGAAACTTACTGCAGCATAGTAATCTGCAACCAGAATAGGCCCATTTGAAAAAAAAATCAGACCTATGGAGGTGTTGATCCACCAATTCCCAACTTACTCAGTTGGTCTAATCGAGTGTAACTTACTGTGCTAAGCAACAGAATTTCAGCCATTGTGTTTTCTGTGAAGTGCAGTGATACAAAAATTATGGTAGTTGATCTGCAATTACTATTTCTTGATAACAAGTTATCACTTGATGCTGAAGACAATAGCTGATTCCAGGGCTCCAACTTTCCTGCATTCTTTTATACTCTGGGACCATGACTAGAGATGGGGGTATTCGTATTCATATATGAATACCAATACTCCCGCACGGGTGGAGATAAGGGTCCACCCCCCTGAGGGCAGAGCGTCCACTCACGATTCTGTTGGTGCTACCAGCTACTCGATCCTTCCTATCACTCCGGAGCTCACTATCGGCTTGCCATTCCTGGCAGGAGGTGGAACGACAAGCCTCCCTGCCAGGTCGAAGAGTGGCTCGCCGATCGTGAGTGCCAGAATGACAGGAAGGATCACGAAGCTGGTGGCGGTGGCGGAATTGTGAGTGGACGGCCTGGCCCAGGGAGCTGGACCCTTATTATCGCCACCTGTGTGGGGGTATTCGTAGTTGTATATGAATACGAATACCCCATCTCTAACCATGACTTTAAAAATGACAAACAGAAGGAATACAAACATAAATAAAAATACATGTGACTGGTACAACATTCTCTTTCTTGAACGGGAAATATCCAACATCCAGGTTGTACTCAGTGGTGGGTTTTCACTCATTTACTATATACTCTGAGGTTCCGACCCCTTAAAAGCTGCTCCTTCTCCGCAATGGTAGGGTGTTAGGAGGGAGAGACAATTGGCAACAACTGGATATTTCTCCTGGGAAGCAGCTGTCTCTAATGCGAAGCCATCATGGGATGCAAGCCATTGATAATATCCATCAAACTCCTAGTGTGTCAAGGTTCTTCATGGTCACTTTTTCCCCCCTCCTCTCTCCTTCCCCCTAGCAGCCAGATTCTAAATCCTTTATCTGTTTCCAAGAACAGATTCCTATGCATTTCTCCAGCATTCTGAAGAAACACGATGCACATTATATTATGTGCATAAGGAAGCATTGTGAAGGCATCTCCTGTCATTCTCAGGGTTTGCTTTAGAAAATTTCATCCAGTCCTTTGCAAATGGCATTATTCAGAAAAGTAGATACCTCGCACTATCAGGTCTGCTGAAGATGATACACTATCGACCTCTGTCTTCACCACACACACGTATTTTCCACTGTGTTTTAGCTGGATATTTCTGATCATTAAATCACCAGATGCACTCTGTTGAGAAGAATTAATAATTGTAACAGTTATATCCACATAGTTGAGATGGTGTGTTCAAAACCTTAGGCTGCCTCTCTTCCCACTTTTCCTCTAAATAGATAAATAATGCATGGAACAGAGAAGAAAATGTTATCTGTTGTGTGTAGAAGCAAGAAATATATTGACAAGCATAGGCAAGGGGAACAAACTTCCAAGACTGCCCATGTTTTAGACAACTTGCACAGCTGTAACAATACATGATACAATTTTGGCTATTGTTATCATCCCTGCTTGGGATATATACTTCTGCAAATGCATGGAAATGACTTGTGTGTGTCCAGAAAAAAAACATAATCTAAAAAAACTTAGAATGATATAGATGAAATGCACCAGGAAATTCATTTCCCACAATGTGTCTATTACTGGCTCTTTTCTGCTAGAGAATACATAGAAGTCTGCCTTATATAGCTGGTTCAGAAATACATACATTTTTCAAATATGAAGGAGCACAGTGTAAGCAATTTCAATCTGAGATCATTTAGTCAAGGTAGTGACCCAGTAAAGTACATATGGAGACAGAGATAAGTTCAGAGTTTTGTCCAGGAATGGATTTTATTATGGAAATTCAATAATTAGCAATTGAATGCTGTCCCAGAGATTGGAGAGTGAGATAAGAAAGTGTAGCGGATGAGCTGCTGTCAATACAAGAGACTGCACAGTTATGTGTTGGGTTCTAAGAAGGGTTTATATATGGCCAATTACCATGAGAACTGGCAAGACAGCAGGACAGAGACAGAGAAAGTGAGGGGGGTAGGTAGATAGGTGGGTAGGCAGGCCTTTCTTCCTACATGCTCTATCCAAAACCCACAGAGAGGGTGTGCCCCAGCAACAATAAAGAGAGGATTAAAATAATACCCTTCCACACTTGCCATGAAGTCTTCCAGCAGTTTTCTACTTTAAAAAGAATAGAAGGAAAAAGAGTGATCAGAGAGCCATTTGGGGAAGACCTCTTCTGCAGTTGCTAGAACTGCAGGGTTCTGTGCTGCAAGAAACCTAAAAGCTACTCCAGCAAAGCATCTGCCTGTGGTATCACAGCTGGAGACAGCCTTTCTCAGTACAGGTTTCCAAAACAGGATATGGAGCTGATTAAGAAAAGACTCACAAATGGGTATACTACTCCTAGGACTATGGTTTCCAGTTCCACAAAGAAAGTTTGCCGCACCAGCAACCCTGCAGTGACGAGAGAATGCACAACCCTTTGATGGTCATTTATTGTCTTGTTTCAGCTTAACATGAGGGACTCTATGCTTTCGGTGATGTTTCAAGAACTTCTTAAAAAGAGTCCCACTCTTATGTCCAAGGAAGTGGTCTTGGCCACAAAAGCTCACATTAAAATATAGCAGTTAGTATTCAAGGTGCCACATTTTTGTCTTCTTTGTTGTTGTTGTTTTGGACCAGATATTCTTAAAAAGAGCAATTGAAATAACAGCCAATCAACAGGTGACAAAGCATATGTAGGTGTGTGTGAAGATATTAAAAGGGTGTGCGTGTGTGATGAAGTAGATCAAAAGAAAAGGAGAGGGGGATGTGAAGACATTCCAAAGGGGGATGGTAAAGAGTTGCTTTCAAGAAAAGTGGTTTGAAGATATTTTGGATTGTTGTCCTCTTTCTTATTCCCACTACTTCATAATTTACCAAGCCAGCACAGGCTCTCCCAATCACACAGGTGAAGAGTAAATGCTGCAACAACAAACAGGAGCACTTCAGATGTGCAAGTGGGGTAGATGAGTGGGAGTATGGTAACCTGACAAGCAGTTAAATGAATGTAGGTTAGAGGCACTTGGAAGAAGCAACTCAAGCAAGGGACACATAGTGGAAGACAAGCCAGACAAGGAGGAGTTCTGATATCATTCTAGTGAAGGGGTCCTGTGTCCATGTGTCACCTGCTATCATATGGCAGCTTGAAAGGAGTGAACAGTAAGAGAAGTGGAGGGTAAGAGTATGTTTGGGGAAATGGAGAGGAGTGCTTTTACAGATAGAGAAGCCTTCCAAGGACAGGCAGCAGGTCATAGGGATCTCTTGTCTGACTTTTATTGTGATGAAATTTAGAGGGAAAAGCTAAACTCTAATGGATAGTGGAGATCTGATGATACAGTAATGTGCAGGGATGCGAGTATAAACAAAAAAGTTCCCATTTCAAATGTCTCTACCCTAGGAAAGCCAGTGTCTTTCAGCTTCAGCTTACAGTATGCTGTACTAAGAAAATCTTCCTATCTCTTACAAGGTTGCTGTGCTAATCCTGAGATAATACAGATAAATGCTGCACAGCACTATAAAATATTGAGCATTATTATCTTAAGATAATCTATGTAATACTGCACATGTTTGTAATCACACATAAACATTGCTGTGTCAACCAGGCCATTCTCAAGGCAAATTACATTTTTATTTAAAAAATTGTGCAATATGAAAAAGAATTTGTGCTTCTTTGTTTTTCTTTGCTTTTTCAATTTGTGGTATTTCAGTATGTTTGTGCTTATTTTGGGTTAACGGAGATAGAGCAGATGAGTTTCCTAATAAGAAAGAGGATGTGATGCCAAAAGAACTGGAGACCAGCGTGATAAAAGAATTGTCTTGAACACACTAGAATTTACAGAGCATTTAATTACTTCAGGAGACCCCATCATGCCAATGCATACCAAGTGTGAACTCTACTGTCTCTATTTCAATAGCTGTTTTCTGTGGAGAGCTGTGAAGTACACTTTGTTTAATTTTCAAGATCCTCCCTTACTAGTTCATCTTTTAAAAAATACACTCAAGGGGCACAAAACGATAGAAACTCAGTGTTCTCTGAAAACTGACAACAATTGGCAATAGGCTTTAACTAACATGTATCACAGATATACGACTAGTGACATCTAGTTAAAATCAGCTCTGAAATAATGCCAATACACATGTTCTATGTGTGTGATGAAATTAATTTTAGTAGCTTTGCTTGCTTCAAAATTCCCTGCAGCAACTTGAAAAAGCTGAAGGGGAAAGCAATAAAATGACTCCCTTTAAATTTAGATGGAGAAAGGCACCGGCGGACCACTGGGGAGGAAGGTCATGACCTGAATTCCTTCATGGCCAGAAGAGATATAAAATGGCCCATCCACACAAAAAGGCCCAAACTGGATTTTTATTAAGGCTCAGAGAGCTCCAACACTAAAGGGAGAAACATTCCTTCTAACTATAACACGTTTGTGTTCTACCCTGCTGAATGTTTTGAACATGGTTAATAAATGTAGGACAATTTCCTTGCAGGAAAGAATGAACTGCCAGACTGGTCTAGACCAGACTGATTGCTTTAAATGAGTAGATGAGGGGATTTAGGAAGAAGACCTCTGGTGAAGAGCTTTGCTGCTAAGGAAAGTTTAAAGCCTGAAAAATATCTTATGTTAAAATGTAGCATAATGCTTTGTATGAACTTCCGTTTTAATCTTCAGTATGACACTTCCCTTGCTCTGTTTCAGACTGGTGTCACTGTATTTTAGGAAGAGAGAGTTAATCCACTTATTCATAGTTGTTATATGTATCTCCACACAATGTGTGCCCCATTCAGCAGTTAACAAAACACAGAGACATCTCCATAGGTGCCAACAGAGATTTACCCACATATTTATTTATTATTTTATTTATTTTTCAATTTTTACCCCGCCCCTCTAGAGTACGTCTACTCGGGGTGGTTTACATAGGTTAAAACACATTAAAATAAACATATATATTACAATTATTACAGTATATATTCACATGCACACAAATGCAAGCGTAGGTGATGCCTTTTATTGGTTCACTAAAAATAAATAGCAAACTTTTGTGGTCAAAATCCACTTCCTCAGGGTTTAAGTGCATCCCCTTCATGGACCGCAGAAAAATTGTCCAAAAATGGATGTTACATACTGTACCTGGCAGAGATTATCTGTTCTTCTTGTGAGGCTGGGACTCTTACTGTCTCGGTTTGGGATTTTTACACCCTGGCTCTTGAGACCAAAAGGCCACAAGCTACCCTGTGATTGTCCTCCCCCCACACTTTCACACTGCTTGCTTGAATCAAGGTTTCCTATAGCTGTGGGAGTGGGGAAAGACAACACAAAGACACAGCAGCTTTCAGCACAAGTCATGGCCCACAATTTGGTCCATTAACCAGGTAGAAATAACAAATTGTGCCAAGTTGAAAGTCAGATTAATGTTTTTAGTTGGTATAATGTCATACTCTGGTTGACTCTGGTTGATGTGAAGAAATCACGTGGCGGGTGTTGAGAGTCTACCTGCTAGTTAGGGAGGAGAGAAGCCAGTGGTTCTCAAACAGGGCCTTGTAGATGCTTTTGAATGAAAACTCTCCAAAACCCTAACCAGTATGAATGATGGTCAGTGCTTCAGGAATATCTAGTCCAACAACACCTCGGACCAAAGTATGCCAACCACTGCCTTAAATGAAACAAAACCACACTTCCTTTAAACCACAGATGCACAACCATTGCAGCTCCAAGGGATCCACCTATTGCTTGGGGGAACAGGGTTCACATATACATACACACAGGCACACACAGACACACACAGACACACACATGCTTCCTCCTTCAAAACACACTGTGAGAGAGTGGCTGCCAGCCCATGGCAAGTGACCAACCCTGACACTAACCCTGGCACTTTCCATAGCCTATTCAAAACTCAGTCAGAAGGAAGCAAAGCAAAAGAAAAGTGTGCCCTGCAGGTTCGTCCCATAGCACTTAATGAACCCTCTGGATTGTTTACAATTTAATTATTGAGGTGACACATTGCCCTCACCTGCCAGTTTTATAACAGGTCAGGAAACCTCTGAGGGGCTGGGTACCCTTGTTTCCCACCCATCCCTAATATTTGGTGGGCTACAGCACATCCTCTTAATTTTACATGTCTCCCAGAAACCTTGGGAAACCACTTGTCATTTAAATGCAACACATAGACATTGGCTAGTCAGAAATAGGAAGTGACAG